AAGTCATTCTAAATGCTCATATTTTGCGATATATATAAATATATATATATTATAAAAATTTATAAAAATTCATCAGACTTTTGAAATCAATAATCATTAGTCATTAAAGATTCATCAGTCTTTTGAATAGATAATAATTTTCTTACTATAATTAATATACAGTTTCATTAAAGATTGCAGTAGATATATATAAAAAAAAAAAAACAATCTCGTTGAAAAAACAGGAAATTGATAGAAAAAGAAGATATATATTGGCCAAAGCCGGGAGGAAGCCCGAGGTACCGTAAGACATCTCGGAATCATTTCACCGGATCAAAATTTAAGGTACGTCCTGACCGCGTCTTGAGCCCTCTCACCCCAGGAAATTATTTCTCGAAGGCACTTACGAAGGCGCTCACGAAGAAGTAATCGGACTCTGAAAATACCAAGCTGCACGCCGATAATGGCCGGTCACGAGCGAGTATGGCCCAAGGGTCTCTTTAGTCAAGAACAAGAACGTACATATGCGCGTAATAAGACCGATTTCTTTTGTTAATCGTATTTTCTATATCGTACGAAGTACGATTGTATATTCTCGCGGTGTGCCTGCTGAAATTAGATCTTGTGATATACGAATGAGATATGTAAGTCTGGAAATATCTCCTTGGGAGATTAATGAAAATCAATTCTTTTTCCATTTGTTTTCCTCTGCTAACAATAAAATACAAAATCTCACGGGCCGATTTACGGACGTAATTTACAGGTTTCTAGAGAATAAATAACATAATACTATACTCTTTTACTTGGAAAATTACGCGCAATACACCGTGCACCGTTACACAAAAGGCAATAATATCGATTGACGAATTAACATCAGTTTTTTTTTGCTATCTTATCGCGCGATTTGAAATTACGAAAAAATCAATACAACGGCCAACGAGTGAAGAAACATTGCGTCGCGCATATGCATACGTTATTTGCGGTCATATGGGAGAGACGGAGAAGAACATCCCGCGCGGAGAAGCGAGACGGGGCGAATAAACCGATGCAGAGATACCGCATCCATGCGAAAGCCGACAGGCCAACAACTCTCGGAGGGGGCCTTCTCTCGTAGGGATGCTGGAGGAAGAGATGGCTGGAATGCACCGAGAACAGGTCGCAAGGCTGCCGACATTCCGAAATTTGCAACGGCGCGAGGACCGGGAAAAAAACAGCTGCATATTGGCGAACATTGAACGCGCGCGAGCCAACTTTCGTAATCATCTCGTTTTAATCCGTCAATCCTACTTCGAAATACGCGAAATAATAATCTATTGGGATCTAAAACTAGAATTAATATAATAATAATTTATATTAAATTTCGATTTATATGAAATTGAAACTATATATAAAAAATTAATAAAATTTGCAAGTATAGAAATAAAATTAAAAAATTCAAGAATATTACATGATGTATGAATACGAACAGAAAAATAACACTTTGATATTTCATCTTTCAATTTTATATCGAAATATATCATACATTGATCGGTCAAAATAAAAATAATATAGATGCAAATAATATTTATTCAATTTTCAATTTAGATGTATCGTAAAATCAATAATACAAAATTTGTGCAAAACTGGAAAAAGATTTGAATAATGAAAATTGAAAAAAGCTGCTTTTGTTATTCTAATATTTATATTAAATTTTTAATTTATGCATCTTTGAGACATGAACGCAGAATTAATTCTTACAAAGAAAGATAAATGTGATGTATCTAAGCTTTTATTCACGTATACTGCACACCGAAGAAATTCGTATAAAAGCCAATCCATTGTATCATTGTAAAGTGAAGGTGGAGGTGAAGGTAAAAGATAGCATAATCAATTTCGGCAATTAATGAAGTATTCAAACAAACGGTAAAATGGCGACTGAATATAAAGAGACGGGTTTCGCGTGCAGAAAAAATACGCATTTACAAAGTGACAACGATTCCGCTATTATACGTTTTCTTCTTTCTGTCCTCGATACCGTATAGCGTGAATTAATTTTTAACGTTTTTATTACGTTTCTGTCCCTCTCTTTCCTCTCTCCTTGATTTTTACGAGGCCATTCACTCATCAACGAAAAGACTTCGCCGTAAATAAAAATCATACGAGACGAAAAAAGTAGAACTATAAAGATTCCTTTCTCGTTCTGATGTATACGCGCACCAGAAGCTGTATTTATATCCCCGATCGTGACGCAGCGATATCTCGCACGCACTTTCAAGTTAAAGAAACAAGAACTTATTAAGCATCGTTATTCTATTCTTATCGGTAGAAAGCACAATTTTACGTTTAATTAATATAATAATACGCGACAAAGGCTCCTCCTCTCTTCTAAATTTCAAGGATTATCGCTTCCAAATTTGTATTGTATTGATTCAACATTAGCTTATGTTTATACAACACGATTAAAAAGGAAAATCTCTTATTTTTCATATATATATGCGCACACTAAAATCGCGTATGCAATATATAATGTGAAGATATGCAAGCCGGTTCCAAAATATTCTTTTACTACCGAGCAATTTCTTTTAACGCACCAGATTTTATAATACGCTCGTTTGAAACGTGCCCTTAAATTGCCGCGTAATTGTTGCTCGTTATGTGCGTGTGATTATCCCCCAATAAAATGCGCGCTTACAAAGCAGCGCGAGATCGAAAGCAGCCTAAAGATCAAATCGCTGCGAAAAAAAAAAGAACCGTATACCATGTGGCAAGCGACTGCGCAACAACGTGACTCTCAACATAATCGCGTCAAGCGGTAATATCCATCCTGTATGCAAACTTATGCGGGATCTCGCGAACGCCTCGCAATCGTTATATTATTTGTCTGGAAAAAAAATCACGCTATTCTACCATATTCTACCTATTTTCTATGTGCCGGAACTGTTTTTGCCTGTTTCACACTTTATACATATACGCGACACTCGCGTGAATTACGTAATAATTTAAATGTGACTCGCGCGATAGTGGTCGAAGCACTAACGTCGAATAAACTCTCATTCTTACATCGATCTAGAATGTTACGTAGCGATAGCTAGGTAAAGTTAATGAACCGCGACTATCGAGGTGCGACCAAGCCGGAAGATCGGATATCACCTTGAGGGACAAATGCCGAGGGATAAACGAAACGTTGTACGTAGGTCGCCGCGTTGGGTTTGCGAACGACGGCTGCAGCGGAACTTACATAACATCAATGTTCTGAGTAACAGGTCCTCCGTTCCTTCTCTTCGCTCGTTCTCGAACTCAGGAAGGAATTCGAGTATGAACGAGAAGGAACAGAGTTGAGTCAGATGCATAAGTATAAGAGAGAGAAAGAAAGAAGATAGAAAGAGATCGCATTAGAAGAGAGATAAGAGAGAGAGAGAGAGAGAGAGAGGAAAAAAAATTAACCATTTATTATTATCCTAGAATAAGAAAAAGTTCTTTCTCTTTCTTTCTTTCTCTCTATTAAAAAACCGAAAAGAATATACATGTAAAATAAAGCAATATACATGAATAAAATACGAAATATATAGAATACCAAAACGTTCGGATATATTTCTAATAAGATTTTTTGATTAATATCGAGTCAATTCTTTTCTAGGGAAAATGTCGAGACAGATTATTCTTTATTGCAATTTTCCAATTTTTCGCGTCACGTGTCTTGTTAATTAAATTTCAAATTCAATTTCTGTTAAAGTAAACTCCACTTAAAATTAGCTGAAAAATGTAATTTTATTTTTTCAATCAATATTTTAATTTATAAAAAATTACTAATGCCTTATTTCTTTCGTTAAAAAGAATTCCGTTTTAAAATTTGTCATTGCACACAAAAACATCCAATAATTTTGGAACACTATAACATCACAAGATAAATCGAGCAAAAAGATACAAGGGAAAAAGGTCGAAATCTACGCTTTATGATTGTCGTATAATAAAATAAACGAATTTATAATAACTCGCTATTAAATTCGTCTTTTTCTATCTTTCAAATACAACGGAAATCTTTCGTATCAATCTAAACGCTCGATAACTACAACTACATAAATATTCATATATTTATGCGAGTTGGAAAGATAGAGAAGAGGAAGAAAGAAGGAGAGGAGAAAAAGCAGAAGGCGCGCGGTAGCGAAAGAGGAGGAGCCGAAAAGAGGACGAGGAAGAGGGTTACAGAGAAGACGGAGGTGGTACGAGTCCATCAAGCAAAACTCACCCTGTTGCATTCCAGAGCCTCCGCGCTGTGCTCCTCCTTCTGCTTGAAGCAGCTGCTGCACTTGCTCTTGTTGAATATGTTCGGCGCGAACTTCCTGCACTCGGCGCCGGTGCCGCGGACGCCGCTCGCCGTGCCACCCGACATCGCGACACGTGCGAATTAGCCGCGATCGTTGCCGAGACACAGCATCGCCTTCTTTCGTCTTCCACCGTCTACCACCGGATCTGTCCTTCCGGCTTCCGTTCCGGAGCGCCACTCCGGTTTCCTCTCCCACAAAGTGTTAGCACTCACGCGAAATGTCACTTTCACGTCGCGCGGTCCTTCGGACGCGAGCTCTCTTTCGTCGATGCAGAGATCTCGTTTAGCGATAACGCACGCACTGCTCTTGACGGAAGCCCCCTTACGGGATCGCGAACGCCGAGGTCGTTGACGTCGATCGCGCGACGGTAATCTTCCGCGAGATTCACCGCCAGCTGTTCGACGACGCAGTAATGTCAACTCTCGATACGTTTTTCGTCGAAATTGCTCGACGAGAAAGAGAGAGAGAGAGAGAGAGAGAGAGATCCGCCGATTCTCTCGAAACACTCGTTCGAAAATACGTCAGAAGAAAAAATCACTATTTTGACAATCGCGATACTTGTTCGAATCTTCCTTCGTACGAAAGAAACGTTTCACTCGCGGAAGCGACTCTGCAAACAATGTTCCAGTTCATTGATCTGAATTGACGCGGAATCCCGCTGATTCTCGTAGAGTACGACGAGATCGCGTCACGTGTTTACAATCGGCACCGCCAAACGAACATAAAAAACACAGCCGCGTACGCACGATCGTTCATACAACACACTCCTCATCGACTGTCAATACGATCTGAACACTCGCTTCGTCTCACTCGGCGCGTAAACACACTCGCGCGTTTCCTTCATACATACATACATATGTATGAATCCCCCTTCGATCGACGCGGCGCGACAGCCACGACCTCGCCTCACTCCTCCGACACTCCTATGGAAGCACGTGGATTTACGAGAATCCCGCTCTCACGTTGTCGAATGTCACGACAGGCCGAACAGCTACCGCTAGCACTCGAAGATACGTGAACGTATCGCCTCGACGCAATGCGCGATGTTCACGTCATTGACAACCGTGATCTCGCAATCTCCTAGCGCCACTTCAGGACGTTAGCGAAAATACCGATATCCGCGATTCGTCGCGAATGCTCGCGCGAACACGTATATCAATCCGCTTGAATGTAGCACGTATATCGATACGAGGGAATAGAACTCGGCTTCGCCCTCGTATTCACTCCCGGCCGAATGTCACCGCGAGAAGAGAATCCCCGGACGCGTAATCCTAATCTCGGAATAGGAAGGCGCGGGCGCGCGCGCGCCTACGATGATAATGACGCGATGACACACGATACGACGCGACACAACACGCGCACTTATTTACGACGACGGCACGGCGCGTCGCGCTGCCCGTGACAGTACGCTCGCGCGGACGTCCATCTGCGATCTGGCCCCGTTTGACTCTATCTGCGCGCTCCGCCACCGCCACGACTCTCACCCGGCCGACCGCGCAACGCACTATACTTCACGTCACTACGCGCGATCGCGAATGTAGTCCCTCGCCTACGCCCGCGCCATCGTAATGCACTCGCCCGAACTTGGATGTTTCGCGCGCCCATTCACTCTTTGCCGCCGACATTCCTGAAATTTTATAATATATATTATTAATAGTGATATTTTTTACTAATTATATTACTTGTCGATGCTTGTTTTAACCCCGTATCAGAGACTAATATATTGAAAATTAAAGAATAAAGAAAAGAATTTGACTAATTAGAATAAAAGGGAGAGCTAAAGTTTATTCAATCTTTAATTTGTAATCTGATACGGACTTTAATCACATATCTCCCACATTTCGTTTCTTTCCCTTTGTACACCCTCGACGATAAACGCGTTCTATTTTTGATCTTGCGAGATGTAGAAAGCGTAGAAGATGCAATTAAAGCAGATAGATCGATTGTGTTGTTTACTTATTTTACTCGCACTTTTTATACGCTTCGTCTCTTTCTTTCTTTCCAACGCAAATATTTATTGAATTTTAAATCCAAAAAACGTAGGGAAATATATCGATTTACATGTTTCTTTGCTGATGTAACTCGCAAAACAAACTGCAAAATAAACCTTCCAAATTCGATGTTTAAATTAAAACGGGAATATTCAAATATGGCATACAGATGAGATAAAATGTATTATATTCGCGTATAATGGCGGCACGATCACTTTTTACGTTATAATTTAAACTATCGAGGAGAATAAAATTCAACCATATATTGAGTTGAGATATCAGTCATATTCTTTAAAATTATATATTAATCTTTAGTAAAAATTTAGAGTATAGTATAGTTTATCTCTCTATATATAATACGATAATTGTACTTTGATTAACGACAATTTAATATGAAAATGAATCAAATTAGCCTAAGTTAGAAATACATATGTGTTTATAAAAAATAGTAAAGATTAAAAATTATATATATACTTCGAATATGTTGCCCGACATATTTCTTGTCGTTTAATATTACTCGTAAAGCCAGAGAGAGAGAGAGAAAGAGAGAGCTACCAAATATATTTTGCATGTTTATTTCGTAGATTTTATATATATATTATTATCATCTATACATATTTCATTATCCAATTAATAAGATTTTGTACCTCCACGCTTTCCGATACAATTTGAATACAGACATGCTGGAAAAACGATTCACTTTTACCTCTCGAATGTTATTTGATGCGGATTTGCATCAAAATTTGGAACGCGGCTCTAACCGCCATTCGGCCTTCAAGTACCGCAGTATCCAAGAGAAAGTTCAAAACGGCGACAACTACTCGAGTCACGCGAGTAACGCGCGCGCGGGCGCTCTTCGCTCTATCAGCTGATTTTTGCGTCCGGTTCGACGAGTCATGCTTTTTCTTCCGGTCCGTGTAGACCGCCGTTTCAGTATCTGCGGGATCGACGGCGAAGATGGTAGATGAAGCTGGTGACAGGTTCGTAGGTCGAATTATTCTCCGCATTGTCCGCGAAATCCGACATCTTCTCGGCGAAGAGAATATCGTCGGGACGCGTCGCCGCGACGCGATCTCCATCGCCATCGACACAAAATTAACCTCAAAGTCAGTACGGTGTGGCGTACAACGGATTTATCTTTTATGACAATAAATCTCTTGCCACCGTGTGTATCCGATCCTGAAAACATCAACGAGCATTAAATCCGCGAGTTTACGTCTGGGGCGATCTCGCGAAATAAAGAAAATAATATTTTTAATCGCGACTTGGATCCACGCTTTGTTAGAGCGGCCCGTATAAACCTATAAACCTATAAACTGCTGTCACTCGCCGTCGTTCTTGCTCAATCTTAATTTGTATGTATATATATATATATATATACAATATATATATATATACACACATATATATATGCCTCTTTTTATTATTATGATATTTAATCGCTATCGATTCACGATGCCGAGACGGAAATACGGTATGCTGGTTCTAATCTCGCCGGTCTTGTAAAACATATTACGCGATCAAAACAAATGTAACATTGATTAACTTAATCGATGTCTTATATAACATACAAAAGAATGAAATCCCGGAAAGCATTGCGATTTCTAATATTGTTTATTATGCAAAACTCGATAATGCATGCATTGCATCTATTAAGTATACATCCGCAGGGATGATAATCTAAAAACAAAACTGACTTTATTATTACACAAGAAGAATTTTCGACTTTGTTATAAAGAAATTTTATAGCTATAGAGATATGCATAATTTTGGCACGCTGAGATGAGAATTACATAAATTTTGCGTATATAACTACATTGCGAAGAGTAATATAAAATTGTTCGAAAAAGTGCAATATTAAGTCATAAAAATAATAATTTGCATATTTCCTCTTTTTATAGAGATGAGTCCTCTAATGTTGCCATTATCAGAGAGGTATATGACAGTGAGAATGCTCATGAGACATTTGAATATGAGTTAGAGAGGGCATTAGAATCAGAATGCAGTTTAATTGTTATCGAACCATCGAAATTAGGTGATGAAACCTCTAGATGGATAGCAGTGGGAAATTGTCTTCACAAGACCGCTGCGTTGTCAGGTCTTGCCGCAATCGTCACAGGTTTGCTTAATTTATATAAGAATTATTTGCATGTAATTATTGAAATAAATAATATATATATATATATATA